CTGAGAAGAAAGGTATCTCTGCATAGTTAAAACTGGGACTGGAGAGTTATAGTTCAACCTCATATGTTAATTTCTCATAAAAATTAAACACCTGTGGTATATAGTTTGACTTCTAGCATTCAGTGTGCCCAGTGGTGAGCACTGATATCCTCCCTCTAAGCACAGCATGGTGGAAATTAGCCACCACCCTCCTGCTTCAGGAAAGCCCTGCTTCCTGGGGATGCCTCAGCTGGTGACAGAAAGGAAGCATACCAATGACAAGGTCATCGGTAGAACAGAGTTAAGTATTCTGGGAAAATAACTCTGCACCACACTAGGAGCTCAGAAGACGGTCAGGAAAGGTCTGCCTCTAAGGATCTGGTGCACAGAAGAATGACTCACTGCTCCTCCCTCTCTTTTATCCCTGTCCCTCTTGTCTTGTGGTTGTCATGACAACCTTTCACTGAAAGGAAAGAACTGGAATCCTGGTAAAAAAGCACACAGGCCTAGAGTGTTTCCCTGGAGTTCCCAGCAAGCCACAATCCAATATTACCCATAGTCCACAGAAGAAAATATATTTGACTACATAAAACTTCCTTCATATCCCACAGGTATGGATGGAGGTATTTGGTATAACCAAAGTGTGGCTTTGATAGAGAGAGGGTGCATTTAGATATTAACAAAATTATCTTTTTAAAAAATTAAATTTTTGTGATTTGCATACAATATAGTTTGATGATATTTAGATCCCCTCCCCTATCTACTCCTCCCCCCACTGACTGCCCCCCCACCCAATTTAACATACCCTCATATATAATATGGCCTATAGAGTCTGAGTTGTGTCTCCAAATGTCTTTCACTGTGAGTCAATCCACTGGGCCCACCAAGGGTCCCATCTCTGTAAGAGACCGTCTTTTCCCCTCTCAGCAGCCATCAACTGCCAAAAGTTCCTAAATATTAACAAAAATGATCTTTAAAATTATTACCTTTGTTCATACAGAGAACTGGTAAAGTATATTGCCCAAGAAATTCATTTCCTGCTATCAAGCTTTGAGTTTCAACAACAAAACGTATCAATGCCAATTCTGGTACTTGAATAACAAACGTGAACGTTTCATTCCATCTTGGACTAAAAGCTGAAGTGTAAAGGGATAAACACAAATAACAATAGCTCTCTAAAAATTTCCTTTTTAATACTTCAGCAATGAATAACAATAATATTAACCTATGTTTTAGAACACTTGATGCTTAATGTTGTCAACGAGAGGAGAGAGTTATAACAACAATATTGCATACTAAAAGTTTTACACCAATTATCTTTAGTTCTTCTAACAGCCCCACTGGTTTATCAGGTAAGAAAATAAGCCACAGGATGTAGCATAAAGTCATAGAGTTGCCCGTGGCAAATATTGGTGCAGAGGTTCAAGCACAGGGAGTCTGATTTCAAAGCAGAAGCTGAATTATTGTACAACATGACTGTGGTAGTTTGACTAAAAATGTCCCCCATAGGCTCCAAGTATTTGGACATTTTGTCCTCAGTTGGTAGTACTGTTTTGGGAGGTTTTAGAAAGTGTGGCCATGCTGGAGGAAGCACATCAGTGGGGGCAGACTTAGAGTGTTCTTAAGCTTTGCTGAATCTGGAGTCACTCTCTTGATTCCTGTGCCTGCTTGAAGATGTGAGCTCTCTGCTTTCTGCTCCTGCTCCAGTCACCTCTGCCACCATGCCTCCCCACCATGATGGACTGTAACTCCCCTGGAACTGTAAGCTCAAATAAGCTCTTCCTTCCATAAGTTGTTTCAGTCAGTGTTTTCTATCACAGCAACAGAAAAGTAACTACTACAATGACCGATGCTAAGATTCCCTTCACAGTGAAACTGAGATACAAGGAAATAATAAACAGCATCATTGTCTGCACTAGCTCATTTCAGGCAGAGCTCCATGCACAGCTGTTGGCTGAGAGCTGGATAAAACAAGCTCTAAAGTGAGCTCTTTGCCTTTCTTTTCACTGCTGATGATTTCAAAGCTCAAAGTTGGTGAATAATCTTGGATTCTAGTAGAATAAATCTTCCCAAACAACCAATCCCTTACCACAGCAAGAAATCCAAATTGTTTCTCAATTTGACTCAAATCATCCAGAACTTTGACCTTAAGTTAATGGAATCAAGGTAGTCACATCTGGACCAAATTTATGCTCTTCTTCAAGACCCAAAGATTTGTAGAAAAATAATGCTTGTTTATTACAAAGGCAAATATTTCCAGGCCATGTCAATAGTTCTTGTTCTTTTTTTAGAAGCACAGATATATTTGCAACTAATTATACCAATATCTCTGCTCTCTCTGGTGCACCTGCATTCACAGGGGCACCTTCCCTAAGTGGCAACCCAGGATGTGCTCTATGCCCACGGAAACAGTAAACTCATTATCTCACATTGGAATAATGATCTCTGCCTAAGAAGAAAAATAAATCTATAGGGTACAGAGACAGATGTAGAGTCGATTCTTTACAGACACTGCAAAGCATCTGCAGAAAACTCTTAATATTGATGTATTCATCCTTCAGTTACTCTATTACACATGGCCTGTATGCCTCCCTCCTTCCTCTGTACCAGGTTCTCTCTCTATGTATCTCTGTCTCTGAGTCTCTCTCTCATATACATATACCTATACAAAATTGCATACCATGAAAAAGAGTCCTAACTTTTCATCATCAAAGTAAAAATAAGTAATCCAGAATATGAAATTTGACAGTGATAAATGTGATCTTCCAAGCATGACCCAAACTTATAAATTAACTTTACACCTTATCCAAATACAATCCTTTTCCCCAGACATTTGTCTCTCTAATTACACTACTATTACCCTGGTGGTTTTACAGTCCATCCTGTGCACCTCACTGCACTCCCCTCCTGCATGTCTCTCATCTTCCATTCCTTTCTGGGTGCTACAGTCTTATTTACAACTTGATTTCTACATCTTTTAACCATCAAAGCCATATCCTGACGCTGTTGTTTCTCATCCTGTCCTACATTACCAGGAAAAACAATCTCCTTAAAGTTCAGAGCTATAGTCCTCTTTGAGGGTCTTAATTTTATCCATTTCCCACAGTGTGCTTGCTAGAAGCTCAGCATGACTTCTAAATTTTTCCACAACATCCCCAAATAACTTTCACACTTTGGGTTTTGGTAATCTTTCTTAAGTATTCTTTACTCCACCCACCTTTGCTTCTCCCTTGTGCCTTTTAATTGTGTCTTCTGTATGTTTGAGATTCATATTGTTCTTTATCCCTTAAATACCTTTGTCACAATTTGTGAAAAAAAGAGCACTTTACACTTTTTCCAATAACTGCCTGCAAGATGCCCCTTCCATACAGTCCTCTATATTCTCCTTCAAGCTCCTATAACTCCCCATCCTAAGAACTGTACTTGTATCATCTCTCATTCTGAACCGTAAAGTATCTCTAATAAAGTTAATTATAAAATACACAAAAGTACATCTAATACCCAGATTTTAAGTCTTCTGCTACTTCTAAAAAAATACCAGGATTTTAGCAGAGGAAGAACTCAAGTTTGATGAACGGTATTGAATTTCCTCAGAGATATTTCCACAAAGCCCAGAGACGCAGTGAAAATTCTAGGATCATGTAAGGGGTACACTGAATGATTTAAGGTCCTATGCACTTTGCAGTGAAGACCCAAGTAGAAGATAAACTGAATAACAGTTTAATTCCACTTTCTTTTGTTAATTTTTAAAATATTTTATTTATTACTTTTATGGTTTGTGTTTGCGTGTATTGCCTGCATGTAGGCAAGTGCACCCGTGTCATGCAATGCCTGCAGAGGACAGAAGCGGCTGTCAGAGCCCCTGAAACTGGAGTTATTGACAGTTGTTAACTGCCATGTGGGTGTGGGATTCAAACCCAGGTCTTCTGTAAGAACAGCCAGTGTTCTTAACCGCTGAGCCATCTCTCCAGGCCCCTAGTCCTACTTTCTTGTAGAGCAGTTTCTACTTCCTAATGTTGACACTGGAATGTGATTGCAACTCTAATGGGTCTCCATGTCTTCCCTCTAGAAGTCATGCTGAGAAAGTGTTTGAATGGAGAAGAGAATGGAATTAACATTCAAAAAACACAAGACTAAAAGGACTGCACTCATTCATCTGCCAGGGCCATGAATGGACTTGAATAGATTTCCAGGCTGCAAAAACTCCACTATGGGAATATCCATTCAAAGCGAGCTCCACACTGAAAGATCATTCCCAAGGCCTCCTTCAAGGCGATCCTAGTGAGGAGCTATTCTCAGGAACCCAGCTTTTTCTTTATTTCCTTAAGGATTTTGACCTCAGAAAAGAAATGGCAATGCCAGTAACATACTCCATAAAATATTAAGGGGTACTGGCATGCAGAACATCTTCCCAAAGTCATTCCTTCCCATCCTGCATTCTGTCTCAGCAAAAGAAAAAAGAGACTCAATTATGAATATAAATATCACATTGTTAGATTTCTATGGCATC